CTATACATTAAATATTATTTTTGAATTTTTTTATTGAAATAGTCATTATTATCGATACGGAGGCCGAATCTATAGAGTTTTAGATTTTTTGTCTATCTGTCTGTCTGTGACTGTACCACGATAACTCACTGGACAGATTTTGATGAAATTTGGTATGATGATAGCTGGTTATCCGGGTCAACATATAGGATACTTTTACTGCGGGAAAATATCTCATATCCTAAAAATCTAAACTAAACGTTAAAACCTAACTAGAGACGAACCAGGGCGGAGCGAGGGTGAGTCGCTTGTCTAAAATGGAAATGAATAAATCTTTAAAAATAAAAATTAAATTCGTATGTTTGTCTTCTATTCGTTCCAAAACCATTGACCCGACTGTGATGAAACTCTGGTGGATTATTCTGTATAAGCCTGCGAAGGTTCCTGGCGTAGAAAAAAAATGATTCTTTGGACGTTTGCCTTTTGTGCGTAAGGCTTAGAGACAAACCCAAGCGAAGCCAGTGTGATTCGCTAGTAATGTTATAAATATTGATGTTTGTAACCGTTAATTTTTCAGAATGGAGATAGTTTATAACTTAATATCCTATTATTTTCTAGTAGTTTTAATATTCTATTAGTTTATAGTTCTAATATATCTAATAATGCTGCTTGAGCTGCCCATCCTACACACTCTTTGTATGGAAAAAAGTCTAAAATCTAAATATATACCTACTTATAAAGATCCAACCGCAGGCATCACATAGTATGGTACAAAATGTAACAGAATTAGACACATTAATATTCTGTAATTTAACACTAGACTGCTAACCGCTAATTGAAATAGCTAAAAATACCGCTTGGCAACCACGTTTAGTCATGTTAAACGTTTCTTTGTAAACGACACCGTTTTTTGACGCTTACTGGTACTAGGTCACAGTTCGGTGGGCATCTTAAGGGACCGTAGCGAAGTTATTAAAAACTTCAATGCAAAAAATTAGATGCTTTTTCCGAGAATAGTTACACGAAACACCATTTTTCATTTTCTACGTATTGTGTAGCCAACATCTCAGTCGTTAGTTTTGTCGTACAATGCAAAAATAGTTGGCTTCCTTCGTATAGTATCCGCGACATTATATAAGTTTTTATAGGATCATATAATCTACACATATTATCAAACAAAATCCCCCACCATGTCTGTCTGTCTGTCTGTCTGAACGCGATAAATTTAAAAATCACCGAACAAATTTTCGTATGGTTTTCACCAATAGATGGAGTAATTCATGAGGAAGGTTTAAGTGTATAATTCATTAAGGTTTTGTGTAAATTGACTGATTTATGACGATAATTGTTGAAGATGTCGGAAAGAATCATGCCGACTGGCTTTATTGACGTGCGCTTAAACCAATAAAGTAATATGAAAACAATGTATTACAGAATTATTAGTCTTAAAAACCACCTGAGCGAAGCGAGTGTAAATCACTTGTAATATCTATAATTCATATCATTCATATCGTGGAAGTAGGTACAATGAAAATCTAAGCATGAGTAATAAAAACACCCAAAACTTAACTCAAACTTGAAATTGTATTAAGTACATAATATATTCAATGGCTTTTAAAAGCACATTTAAATCATAAATGTAAACTAAAAAAAAAAAGAAATGTATTTTTTTTTTCTAAAAACTCACAAGAACACTACGCACCCATAAAATATTTTAAGTCCTATTAGAACTAATTCTAAGTTACTTCTGCTACAACATTAAAAAGCTTTCCAGAACATCGGCAGGTACCGTTATTTACGTTAGACCTTAATAGAAAATGCTAGTTCAGAAAATGGATAAGTATATTTTTAACATAATATTGGTATTAGAGTTTTTTCCGACGTCTGTGGAAATGAATTTTCGTATTGAATCCGGCAAAATAGCGAACAAATAATTTCTGATGGAGGTTTCCAATTTTCAATTCCCAATTAGAGCCCAATATAATTTCTTATTAAGAAATAAATAATTCGTAATGAAAACTGAAGAGTTTCTCTTATTATTCATCTGTTACAAATATCCATTCATAAAAAGATAATAAAAATAATTATAATAATTTCCTAAAAGTACCTACTACCCACCGGATATGGGTCCATGTTTAGAAATGGGTTTTTCCCATAAGTATAGGTGCCTATTATTCATTATACAAAAACACAACACACACACACACATAAACACACAAGTTTTGTGTGAGTGACATTGACTTATTTTCCTGTACATACATTTTCAATGAGATATTGTCTTTTGTACATACATATATACATACATAAATACAAATTCACCTGAGTTCAGTGAGGGCGAGTTACAAGTACTTAAAGATTCTATTTGAATTTCATTTTTAAACTTGTAATACTAGACTTTACGCACGAGTCGAGATCTACTGAAGTATTAACAAGGTAGAATAACTTCTACAATCTTAAAATAAAACACTTTAAGATTTAAAATTACTTTCTTCAAAGAAATTTACCGAGGCTCAAGTTTTATTTATTTTACGAAATAAAGCTTCATAGTGACATAGCTATAAAGTTTCTTTGTATAAATAGCTTATGAACACGAAATACCTTTATAAAATAAGTAGTTAGTAATAATTATAAATAACTGCCGGAAAAGGAAACACAGTGTCGTGCGAATTTTTGAAAATGCGCGATGTGACATGACGCAGCAGTGTGTCCGTTCTCGCCAACTTCACGTACACCGCTCACAGATAACTTCACGTAGCTCTGCCTGTTGACAAAACTGGTTTCTTCCGGCTCGAGCTTTTGACAATCTCAGCGCGAGCGCATCACGCTCTAAAGAAAACGCACACACCTTCGTCTTCTGAAGTGCTGTACCTATCGTTGCATGGTTTTATGAAGTTTGTCTCTGTAGATATACTATATAGTATATAGCGTCTAAGAAAACCAAAAGCGGGTTTTTGGTTATTAAAACCATAATCAAATTCCATAAATAGGTACAGTACTAAAATAAACATTGTTTAAGGCTTAAAATTCAAACTCCAAACAATTAAAATATGAAGGGTTTGAGAACCCTTTACTTCATTAATAAATAAACGATATTATAGCTAAAAACATTGATATCTTATTTCAACCCTTCCAACACGGACGAAATACATGTTATAAATATTTCATATCGCGTGATAATTGTTCCAACACTGTGAGTAAAAAAATGATATTTTAACAAATTTTTTATGTTAAAATACTAGACAAGTCATTATGGTGTAGTGGGGCAAGTGTATGGCTGGCACTATCTACGACGTTACAAGGGGGTTCATTTCCTGCAAGGGTTGAACTTTTGTACTGAGCGCCTTATCTGTTTTTAACACAAGCACAGTCAAGCTTTCTATTTTCTCTATCTGGTATGTTAAAAGTATAGTAATTTGTACCACATTCAATAATCCCCTCTTAAGATTATCGAGTACAAAAAACTCTTATTTCTTACGTTCTCATATTCCTATAGCGATGACATTCTTTTAGATGAGACTAATTATACCTATTACCTACATATTTAGATATTAAAGTATAATATTACTATAGAAATAAATAAATTGTAAAATACCTTCGTAGAATTCATATACCTATGAAAACTATTTATTATATAAAACAAAGAATAAATAAAAAGAATTTCTTCTCAATATATATTCAAATAGCGTATTAATGAGTGGTTAAAATTATTGCTTTCTTTTGTTCAAGTTTTAAACTATTTACACGTCATTGTTTTAGCTACATATATTATTTTTTCTGAAGAATAAGATTTCTAAAATGAATTGAAATTGGATTTTTTAATTACATGGCTTTGTGCCATCATAATTATAGCACATATATACATACAGCGGGTAAATATATTGTTCCAAGGGTACACAATTATTATGGCGATCGAACGCTGCATAAACGTACCTTATGAACAGTTTGCCCGCTGATATTAGACTTGAACTAAGTAAAAGTAAATTCGCCAAATTATTAAAGAAATATTATATGGACAGCTTAACATAATTAAACATACCTACTCAAATTATCATAATGTAATATATATACATGTAAAATATATAAATGTAAAATATATAAATGTAAAATATATATAAAAATATCCTTAAATATTATAATTTAAGATTAATAACTGTGAGACTCTGATCCCACAGACAAACTGTGCAAACAGTTTTGTGGGTCCATTGTAAAATTAAAAGTAATATAGTGTAATAATTATAAAAAAATACATATACCTACAATGTACGTGTATTTATAGTAGGTACATAGAGATATTTGTATGTATATCAATAAGTACAAATTTTAAAGTGGTTCAAGATATCAAATTTGTTAAAAAAAAGTGTTTCAGATTAAAAGTGCTACCTGTTGGCTGTCGAGCCTGATACGTATATGAGAATGTAGCATTATGGAAGTGACTAACGAGACACAAAAACGCGAAGAAACGCGAAACGCGACACTCGAAAAACTCGAAAAACGCGACACTCGACGACACGCGAAACTCGAAAATCTGATGGAAATATGCGACGTTGCCGTATTTCTTATGCCACTCGAAGACACTCGATTACTAACCTACAGAAAATAATCAGAAGTTTCTTAACTCAAGTTAACACTAAACTTTGAGTGTTAACACTCAACTTTGAGTGATAGCACGACTACTCAGTGAAGTTGTTTTTAAAATAATGTTTATAAAATAAATTACAAATCAGTGAAATAAATTATAAGTACTTTAATTAAAATTTACTAAAACTGTTATTTGCAAGATATAATTTATTTTTGTTAAAATTATAATTGCATAAAAATTTTGTTTGAAAAACCTGAACGAAAACCATATCCAAAAATGAAAATATTAAGGAACACTGAACTTTGAGTGTTATACTCGACTGGAGTAAGGAAGCCACATTCTTTCATTGTTTATTTACAATTAAATGACAACTAAATTAAAATTACAATATTGTTATATTACAATATTCTTTCATAGAGTGTACATACACGTTACATCTCTAACTTTTAGAACAGCTACTACAAAACCAAGCAGTTGTTGGTTCTTTCTTAACGTTAACGCAGGGCCAATCGAACCAAAGAAGACATCGCTTACATGTAATCATTGTTTTTGTTAATCGTCGAGGTTTTTGACACGTACCACACTTGATTGTAATTCTTTTCCTTTTCTTTTCGACGATGTCATTCAAGCGTTTGTATGCCGTTGGTTCACAAAATTTTTCCAATGCTTGAATGACATCGTCGTCTGTATTCTTAATCGCATCCGTGACAGTTTTATCATCTACATTAAAACTCGCAGATTCTATTTTACGTTTTTTTGTCACAACATTTAGGATTAAATCATCTGGTATGAACCACGAAAGCATTTCGGATGCTTTTTCTTCATCGCTCAAATCCTCAAAAGCTATCAATTTTCGTTTGCTACTTCGCAACTCACACGAAAGCTTTTTAGCATTTTTTGGCACTGTCACCTCTTGTCTCGGTGTTCCAATAGCTGTTGGTTTTTTGGCCGTCGGTCGTCCCCTCGTCGTGATTTTTGTCGGTAAAGTTACGTCATCGTCGTTGGCAGAAAAATGAGACACAATTCCTGATTTAGTGATAATAGACACTTTGTTGCATGATTGTTGGCCTATTTTAGAGATATTATCAGATTCAGGTTCGAGATCAGATTCACTATCTAGATCAGAGTCAGGATCAAGTTCACAATCGAGATCAGAGTCAAAATCAGAAGGAGGTTCAGATGAAGTTCCAGCGGCAGGTTCAGGGCGAGGTTCAGATGAAGTTTCAGCGGCAGGTTCAGTACGAGCTTCAATGGCAGGTTCAGAATCAGCATCTTCTAGTGGAAACCATGGATTGATTTCCACTTCAAGATCAACCTCCCAATAGTTGATGAGGGCTGTCAGTGCCTCCATGCGAGGATCAAAGGTTTTGCTCTTCAAAAGACACGCTTTCAATTTCTGCAAAGATTGGTTTGCCAGCAGTTCTATAACAAAATAAAAATAATAAATAACAATACTCGAAACCTTTTTTGTTTCATTGATTATTCAAATATCATACCTTCTTGTGGCGTAATAATCTCTAAAGCAGATTCACTAGAGTCTTCATTCGATCCGCTAGTTGAAAGCTCCTTCTCACTAACTACAATGATCTCTTGTGATAGTGTTGTTGTTGAAGCACTAGCAATTGTTATGGGTGCAGGGGTGACGTTCTGAGTTACAATCGTAGGAGAACTGTGATCGTGTATGGGGTGGCAACTGTGAAGGACGTAAGCGTCTTTTTGCTTGGTTGCTTTGTATTTAGCATGCATTTCGCAACCAGTTTTTTGGATCCTAAAAAAATATAATTATGATCAATTTGTTATCAGATATGTACATGTATTTATTATTATTATGTATTCGACTCAACGGGTATTCACCCTTTCTAAAAATGTTATAAAAATATAAAAAAAAAAATATAAAATTTGTATTGATAACTTATTCTTACCTCGCATTTTTTTCAGCTGTTTTACCACGCATTGGACAGTGATATTGGTATTCATAATAATCTAGTTGACATCCCTCAGGTCTTTTGACATTTGAAACCTCAAAAGACCTAGATCTGCCAGTGGAAAGCTCGATACCAGTTTTTTCTTTATGAAGCGCCAAACGTTTTTTTATTTCATCGTCCTGTATTGCTGTAAGTACGGTGGACATGAATATGAATCACAATCAAATGGAGAACGGAAACGAGGGTAAGTTTTATTTCGAGTTTTGAAATTCACAATAATTTTGAACATATTGAAATTGAAATTCCCTATCAAATTACAGGACCAGAAAGATGGGATGCAAAGCAAAAGTTAGGGCTACTGTCGATAAAACGGGCCGACATCTCGTTATTAGGAAGGCGGACCTGATCCATACAGGACACGATGACCTCGAGGTAATTTCCAATGTTATATATTGGATATATTATGACTATACTTCAATCTTTGGTGTCTAAGAGTCACTCGAGATGAAGGCACTGAATACTTGAGTGTTCCATTTAAAAGTTGTTTTCTGAGAGCGTTTGTTTATTGAGTATCAATTTACAAATATAAATCATGAAATCAAGAACTCGATAATTTTTTCGAGTTTTTTTAAAGTTAAATTTTGAGATCAAAAGTTTTCAGAATTTAAACTGTAACTAGCTCACTTCTAAAATTCAGTTTCGAACAGGCGACGTTATAAATATTTACACTCACAAATTTCTAAAATCATAACTTCAGATTCAGAATCATTACTTCATAACAGAATCATAACACAGATTTTTACGTACAACAATTCTTACATTTTTTCATCAAACAATGCCTTAACACTAGAAATTCTGTGACTTTTCATTATTTTGGTATAGAAACATGTACCTAGAAGGAATTTTTAAAACTGCAAAAATATTTTATGTTTAACTTTGGAAGCCGGACGCGACATTTTTGTCCCCTTTGTAGCGAAAAAAATATTAATAAATTTTGTTCAAATAACAAAAAAAGAACTAAATTTGAAAGTATCGCCATTGGCTAAATTTCAATAATCAATCCCAGAATGAAATACAAATATTTCGGACATTGCAAAATCTATGGCAGAGTTTCCAGAAATAAAACACTGAACTTTGAGTGTAATACTTGATGGAGCATGAAAGCAATTTGTTTTTCATTTTTTATTTACCTGATCGGTAACAAATTTAAAAATTATAAATGTATTAAGTTGTATAAATGAGTAAAGTAATTCAATTATAATTGCATACAAACTTTTTTAAAAAAACTAAATGAAAACCATTTACACAAATTAAAATCTTAGGAAACACTGAACTTTGAGTGTTTTACTCGAATGGAGCATGGAAGCAATATTTTTTCATTGTTTACTTACCTGGTTGTTAACAAATTTGAAATTATAAATGTATGAAGTTGTATAAATGTGTTAAGTAATTTAATTTTAATTGCATACAAATTTTGTTTAAAAAACTAACTGAAAACTATTTACACAAATTAAAATCTTCGAAAACACTGAACTTTGAGTGTTATACTCGAATGGAACATGGAACCAACATTTTTTCATTGTTTATTTATTTTGGCAACTACATTAAATTTACCTGAAATTGTTATGTGCAAGACACAATTCGAAAAGCTATATTGGATAGTGTATCGTCGTTGGCACATTTTCAATAATCAAATTCAAAATGAAATAAAATTATTTGATTTTAAATTTTTCTATTTGCAGGAATACTTTGATACGCTCCCAGAGAACAAAAGACTTTCGGACCAAACTACTCAATATGTTCTCGACACAATGAAATTCGATCCAAAAAAGGCCAAATTGTTCGATTATTTGGAAACAAAAAAAAACGTACAATGGGATTCAAAAGATCTTGCAAACTTGAAGCGTCGCCATGAACCAACTAAAAATGGGAACGATTACGTGGAGTTTACAAAAATACTTAAAAATGAAGGTAACTGTCAATAGAAGTTGAAAACAGAGAAATTTAAATATTAATCATTAACTAATCGAATTTTTGTTGTTATAGGTGCATCATATCAAACTCTGATCGATGAAAAGCGCGAATTAGTAGCCATTTTTTTTTGTACGCCAGAGATGCGGAAAGCAATGAGCAAGTGGTCTGATATCGTGTTCTGGGACAGCACGTACAGGCTCCTAAACAACAATTTTGTGTTATCCTTATTCCACGTAGAAGACTCGAATGGCTTCACTAGAACCGTCGGAGTAGGCCTGCTAGCCAACGAAGAGGCGGAAACTTTCAAATGGCTTCTAACATGTTTTCGTGAAGCCAACCCTGAAGCTTGTCTGAAAATTAGGTCCATTATGACCGACAAGGATCCTTCTGAGAGAGCAGCCTTGAGGGAAATTTTTCCAGAAGTTAACCTCCTGATTTGCAGTTTTCACGTCCAACAAATTTTCCATCGACAAATAACTGTTGGAAAAAGGGGGGTAACGAGCGAGGAAAAAGATGACCTCCTTTTAATTTTGCGAAAACTAGTGTACAGCGAATCGGAGGAAGATTACGATGAAACGTACACTGAATTTTGTGAAGTTGCTCCAGAAGAAGTGATCGATTATTATAACACCAACTGGCATTCGATAAAAGACGAGTGGGTCCTGTATCGTATGAATGCTCACGGAAATTTGAATAATAATACAAATAATAGAGCAGAATCGACACATGCCAAGGGTAAACAAATAGTTCCACTACACAGCAGTCTGGTAGAGTTCGGCAAAAACATTTTTGTTTTCTTTCGGGCACAAGCGCGTCAAATCAAGATCAAAAGCGGAAAACTGATGACTACAAAATCAGCAGAAGCTTTTACAACCGCAGATGAAAAAAACTATTGTGAGTTGTTAACTCCAAAAGCCTTTGCCGAATTGCAACCAGAACTGCTGGAGTACCCTGACGTTCAAATCATGAGTAGCAATGTCGCTCAAAAAGAGTGTTCTTTCGAATTAAACGGAAGGACAATCACGAGTTCTTTAACTAAATGCAAATGTCTGAAAAATCGTTCAATGTTTCTGCCTTGCAAACATGTATTTGCTACTCGTGATTTCTTCGAGCAACCACTTTTTGATAAAACGTTGTGTGCAGAAAGATGGTTGAGAGGGTATAGTGTACAATGCGATACTGAAATTTCCAAACTCACACACTTCCCTAATTGTAGCCAATCCTCAAACGGTAGCGTCACACAAATTAGGCAGTCGAACGAACATGTCACACTGGAAAAACTTGCAAAGAAGTATGACACTTCGTTCAACTTGCTGGCTCACGTAGGCAGCTTGTCTGCGAATCAAAACTTGCAGAACAAGAGTGACTGTTTGCATGATGTGATGGATTTGTGGGCGAAAGGGAAAAATGTGCGACTTTCAAAAATAACAAACAATGAATTGAATGTTATTCAATGTACATTGAAGTTGAAGTCGACAAATGACAAAAGGCGTCATCTTTTTTGTATGAAAAAAACTCCTCGAGAAATTCAGTTGTCAGAGAAAAAAATCAAAATACTAAATCGACTGCTCTCACTGTGGAAGAAGAATGTTCCAGTTATTGCTAAAGAGTCAGATGGCGATTGTAGTTTAAATGATAGTGCGACCTTGAATACTAGCGAGATTAAAGTACCGGAACCAACTTTGATCAAAGGACGACCGAGACAAGCGTTCGATACGTACATTAAGTATAAGTAAATTTTAAGTATACGGATATTTGTATAATTTTATCGTTATTTGTATATGTAAATAAAACTTATAATATTGCAAGTTCATGCATTAATTTTTACCTAAAAGTTCAACATAATAAATAGTAGCTAAGTCCTAACAAACAGCCTCACTCAGAAGTCGTGTCAACACTCAAAGTTGAGTGTTAACTTGAGTTGAGAAACTACTGACAATTTTGTGTAGGTTTTAAAAAATGTACTTTAAAAAATGTACAATTATAGTTCAATAAATTTATTAATAAACATTTGTAAATAAATCACAAAACAAACAAGTGCTCGATAACGAATAAATTACAAAAAACAAGTGCTCGAATGAACGGAAGAAAATAAAAAATAAATACATTTTCTTGGTCGTTAATTTTTCGAATGAGAATTTCAACGCATACAGACGTAAAAAGTAAATTCAATAAATAAATTTTCTGTATAAACTTGAATGAACTTATTGAATAAAGTGATAATTTATTTCACTAACTTATAATTTATTTTATAAACTTTATTTCAAAAACAGCCTCACTGAGCAGTCGTGTTAACACTCAAAGTTGAGTGTTAACTTAAGTCGAGAAACTACTGATTATTTTCTGTAGGTTAGTAATCGAGTGTCTTCGAGTGGCATAAGAAATACGGCAACGTCGCATATTTCCATCAGATTTTCGAGTTTCGCGTGTCGTCGAGTGTCGCGTTTTTCGAGTTTTTCGAGTGTCGCGTTTCGCGTTTCTTCGCGTTTTTGTGTCTCGTTAGTCACTTCTTAGCATTATATTTTAAATAAAACTGTCTTTTCGGATTTTTTCGCGAATTTATTTTGATGTTGTAGCATTATACTTGGCATTTTGTCCATGAAATGCTGGTCTATACATATAATAAAATTCTAACATTCTAAAATCTTAATACTTTCTTAGATTTACGCTCATTATTATTGATTTTCAAAATAAATCCGCGAAATAATCCGAAAAGATAGTTTTATTTAAAATACTAAAATCTTGTTAAAACAGTCCTTATTATCGATATAAGGCCGAATCTATAGTTTTTAGAATGTTTGTGTCTATCTGTCGGACTATCTGGGAACGCATGACGAGAATACCACTGGGCAGATTTTGATGAAATTATGTATGATGATAGCTGGTTATACATACGGGTCAACATATTGGATACTTTTTACTATAGAAAAACATCTTATCTTTGAGAAATCTATACTAACCCTTGAAACGCGCGGAGGGAAGAACCCGAGAATAGCGAGGGTGAGTCGCTAGTAATAAATAATTTCATTATATCCAAATGATAAAAGTACACGTAAAAACTCTAAACGCTAATTAAAAATAGGCTAATTTTTCCCAATTACCATATTAGTTTACATACTTTGCTAGTTACGTGCAAAAGACTATAATATAAAAAGCTTGGTTAAAAATATTTTACAGAATCACTTAACCAATATTACTTACAATAAAAAGCTTCGAATAAGCTCAGGTTTTA